CCCCCCCCCAGCCAAAGTTCTTCCCAGGCTCATTTCCTAGAATAACTGGGAGAATGTGAATTTCATCTCTCAGATTAATCACACTAACTTCAAGTATTTTAATTCAATAAATGGTTTCTTTAAGCCCCCCCCCTTTCCTCTTTTTAATATTTGTCTTATAAAACATTCAAGGCTGCAAAAGAAAACAGACACGGTTTCATACCTTTGCTGGATTTCAAACAGCGCCTATCTTGGTCCTGTCCCTCAGTTTCATTTCTGCTTCTGAAGGTTGGCTTTGAAGAATGAAGGGGCGGGGGGGAGCTCCAAGGCTGGTGCTTATCGGTTAAGTGCTCCAGTGAGATACTTAATTTTTGTGGACAGACTTCATCCTGGCATGTCTTCAGTTTGGTTACACAGCATCAGCATTCTTGCTCCTCACCGCTTCAAAGCCAAATATGCAGTGTTTGTCTTCTCCCCGGGATGTCCTTTCAAATATTTGAGTACCTTCCTTGTGTCACAGAATGTGTTGATGCTTCTCTTGTTGAATTCCCATGGTTTAAAAGAGAGAAGTAATGCCTTTTTACAGCTGTTTCAATCCGCTTCTCAGCGAGCCTTATTGCGCTTCATGGAGTTGAATTGTGGGTAGACCCACAGAGGCTTGCACTTGTCAAGAAGGTGAACAGCTTTAAGGCACTAATATGACATCCTGCCAGAAACAGCTACCCAAACCATTTTTTGCTTTTTTAAAAAATTTTCCTTTAGGCTGAACTGAATGAATTACGGAGCACCATCATAAATCTTCTGGATCCTCCTCCGGAAGTGTCAGCCCTGATCAATAAGTTGGACTTCGCCATGTCTACCTACTTGCTTTCCGTGTACCGTCTAGAATGCATGAGGTATTTCCTGGGGGCTGCAGACTGGCCCTGTTCACCCAACCTACTTAACCTGGGGCAACAGCAGAGCAAGTATCTGTGCACCCAGACAGTATTGGCACAAGAGTGAGTTTTAACCCCCAACTGTTCTTCTGACTTAAGCTGCTCTCCCATTTCAGCTGTGAGATAAGGACACCCTAACCTAGTGTTGTCCAAACTTGGCCACTTTAAGATGAGTGGACTTCAACTCCCAG